AACACATTGGCATTAATGAAGACATGCAAACAATAAAAGTGTCGAGCGGGGTATACATCAGCATTAAAATTATTTTTAGCAAAATTATGTAACCACTTCTGGCCAAGGCAACAGAACAAACAAAAAGAAGAAGAAGTAGGAAATAGTTGGTACAAACTGCTGCAAAAATCAGAAAAGAGAAGTGAGGATGGAAGACACAGACCTAATGTCCTAAACTGAAGTTCTGCCTATCCACTCAAAGCCCATACAAGAATGCACACACACAAACACACAGTGTCAATACACAGCTAGACACAAACAAAGCAAGCAAATTTGGGGATCCCATGACCAGGTCATATAACCACTTCTGGCCAAGGCAACAGAACAAACAAAAAGAAGAAGAAGTAGGAAATAATTGTTATGAACTGCTGCAAAAATCAGAAAAGAGAAGTGAGGATGGAAGACACAGACCTAATGTCCTAAACTGAAGTTCTGCCTATCCACTCAAAGCCCATACAAGAATGCACACAAGCAAACACACACAGTGTCAATACGCAGCTAGACACAAATAGAACAAAGCAAGCAAATTTGGGGATCCCATGACCAGGTCATATGTGACTGCTGCTACAGCCCCCACATTTAGCAAAAAGAGCTAATCTCAATGCCATGGAGAGTGACTGTCAGATAAAATCCAGGCTCTCTTAAGCAAGGCGTGTGATCCATGGGCAAAAGCAGAGGAAAATTAGGAAACATCATGACCGAGAAATAATTTGAAGAGAGCTCCTAAACACCAAACAAATTCTGTGACTCCCTCTGTTTGATTAAAAAAAATTCAAAGCCTTCGTTCTGTGTTTTTTCACCATTTTCTTTTATTGTGCACAGACACAACACGGCGGTTGATTTTTCTCCCATCCAGAGGAGTGCCTTGGCATGAATGGGAGTGGGATATAAATGCAATAAATAAATATTTTGAAGAGACCAATGCTCCCAATATTGCACTTCGTCGTTTTGCCAGGTGATTCATTGTCTTCTCTAAACGCATACATTACTGACATTGAATATTTAACAAGGGTGACTTCCAATACTAAACTCACCGCTCTTTAATTAAACTTAAATGACCAAATGATTTTGTCCCCAAAAAGCACAATTACAACACTGGTTCCTGGACATATTCCTTTGGTTAGCTGCTTCCCTTTCATCTGTGAGCATATCCTGAAAAAATATAGTGCATTCAAAGGTTAACTGAAATGTACAGCTTTCAAGCCAACCTTGCCACCATGAATATACACAAGCTCATCTGATTGCAGAAGTGGGGGTGGGCCCGGTTACACATGGAGGGGAGACGGCCAGAGAATATCTATGGCATGTTCTGGAGACATCCCAAATCAACCCCAATCCCATCTTCAAAGCATCCCTTTATTGTATTCACAAAGGCTTTCACAGCTGGGATGTCATGGTTGTTGTGGGTTTTTCGGGCTCTTTGGCCATGTTCTGAAGGTTGTTCTTCTTGGTTGTTCTCTGTGGCTGGCATCTTAAAACTAAACAAGGTCTGGCTCCCAATACTGAAAAATACATCCTGCAAAAGGTCAACAAACTCTACCCAGCCACAAGGACCAGGGATCATTGCACAAAAAAGACCAGCTAACGACACCCATCAATCACAGTGACAGATAATCTCTCCCCCTTATCGCAACAAAAACATGCTGATCACCTTATCTCCTGAAAAGGACAAAAGCTGTTCCCACAGCTATAAATACTCAGCTATCCAACAAACAGCAACAGAGCATGGACAGAGTTCCTCCTCCTGCCCTCTGAAGACCACAGAGACTGGTGAAACGTCAGGAAGAACAACCCTCAGAACATGGCCAAGGAGCCCAAAAAATCCACAACAACCATCCCCTCCAAGGAGCCCCAAAAACCCACAACAACCATCTCCTTATTCTTACTGCCATCCCAGCACACCTGGTGGGACAGTCACAGTGGGTGAAAGTCCCCTTCCATGTGAGGAAGTATCTCCCACTTTTCAGGTATCAGAAAACAGAGGCTCTTGGGTGTGCATTCAACTGCGCATTCGAACAAAAGGCTCCGAGAATTAATAATACAAAAGGGAATGACTGTTCCACAAACTAGAATTCAGTTTTCAATCTTCCCTGAGTGTTTTGCAACACCGTTCTCTCCATTTTACAGTTCCCACGGTCAAGTTAGCGCTATGTAAACCAAGCACTCACTCACAGAGAGGGAAGAAAACAGGCAAACAGCAGCTCCTTGCCTTAACATTACAAAAACCCTTCATAGTTGAAGGTTCTTCAAAACACGTTCTGAGAGCTTTGATCTAGAAAAATCAATGAAAGATTCGAGTCTCTACAGGGAGGCTTTACAAAACATCTCTTCAATATATGTACTGTATCAGAAACCCCATATGTATAGCTCTCTACAAACTTCTACAAATGTTGCAAGGCATGGCCCGCTTCTCTAAGCAGCAAGAAATCCATGACTGCAGTGTTTATTTATTTATATATTTAAAATATTTCCACCCACCTTTCTCCTTAAAAAGGGCCCAAGGCAGCTTATATCATTAAAATACAATATTTAAAGCTAAAAACGGTAAGTATACAAATACTAAAAACGATCAAACAAATATAACTGTTAAGATATGGTAAACAAAAGCAACACCAAAACGCATTCAAAGCAGTAAAATACAACCATCCATTTAAAAAAAACCCCACTCAGGCAGCCAGTCACTAAGAGAAAGCTTGCCTGAAAAGAAAGGTCTTTGTCTGCTTGTGGAAGGACAGCAAAGAC